CGCCCCGCGGGCCCGTGGGCCAGCCGCTCTGCCGGCCGGGGCTCCCAGGGGCCTCTCGGCAGCCAGGGAGACGCAGCCGGAGCAGCCCCTGCCCGCAGCTCGGCCCCCTCTCCTCGGCCATAGCTCACAGCTCTGGTCAGAAGCTGTTCACTCTGAAGCCTACTGATGGCCACCACACAGTCTCATCGGGATTGCTCTCATGCACACACCTATGGTTGCCGTCGTGCTGTCACCACACTAAAAATCACCCTTTTTTCTAACCCCTCTGCCCAGCCTCAGCTCCAGGAGCAGCTGCAGGAAGCGGCTCCGGGCAGGAAGCCCTGGAGGACCCAGCCTGGCCCAGCGGGACCTGGCGATGGCTCCTGCGGCGCCGGGGACACGGGTGCCGGCGCGCGGCGGCAAGAGCCATTTCGTGCAGCCGCCGTCCCCTCCTCCGCGCTCGCCGCCACATGGGGCCATTCGTCTTGCCTCGTTAAGGAGATGCCTTGTCACTGCGCGCGCCGCCGCGCGCCAGCCCCAACGAGCCGTGACAAATGGCAGGGCCGCGGCCGCCGGGCACCACAGAGCTGCCCCGCGCCTCAGTTTCCCTGCGCGCAGCAGTGGCAGAGATCCCGGATTCCCCCATCCCCGGCACAGTGTTGGGAAACACTAAAACCTCCTTAAAAGCCCATGTTTTTTTGTCACCCACAGTGTGATGGCACATGGGGACGGTGACGCCGCATCCCCCCAGCCCAAAGGGAACCAAAGCCGGGGGCAAAGTGCCGGCGGGAAGCGCAAAGGGAAAGCCCTTTGCAAAGCCTGTCGTTTCCCAAAATTAATCTTTCTCAGCTGCAATGAGATGCTGTCCCCTCCCCGGAGCCACCTGCAGAGCCGCTTCCTTGGGCACCGCTGCCCCGCACGGCAGCTCCGGAGGTGCCCGGAGCAGGGAAAAGGAAAGAGAGAAAACCCCCTCCCCGGGCAGCGCCAGCTCCCGGGCACCCGGATGCTCTGCTCCGGCCTCGGGTGCCCGTTGGGCCCCGCGGGCGCTGCTCCCGAATCCGTCGCATTTCAGGGTGCTGCACCCAGGCTGCCGGGGTGCGCGCTGGCCCCGCGGGGGGCACTGGGTGCCCTGGGTGGTGCCACCCCGGCGCGGGGATGAGGGG